TCTATTTGAATACTTGCATCTTCAACCAGCACCCCATTTCGTTGGCGTTACAGGACAGCGCATTTTGGGTAGAGGGGAAAGCGTTCTTAGCCACCAGGCCCAGAGGAGAAAAAGGTGTGTCAATACATTAACGCACCCTACCAATTATATTGACACCCCAGCCTATTCAGACTGCCAGTAGTTCAACTGTGAATGTGTCAGTCATTGTATGATCGTGTTTGCCTCAGTGATTACAAATTTGTAGTGCACTTGGTGTGTGGTTAATTAAGTATTTACTCACCAGTATGTAATATTAAATACTCCATTAGATAGAAAAACTACAGTAAAAAATGCAAAAGAGTCGAGTTTGAAGATGTTTTATTTTTTTAAGTAAACTTATTTGATCGTTTTATGCTACCAGTCCCTTTACATGCGCAGAAGTAAGAACAATGGCCAATAATCAGTTCTTGAATTTTTATTTCAAGTGGAATAAATTTAAACCTTCCTTCCCTCTTTGAGACGGCGAACTATTCATTTTGAAGCACATGACCAGCCTTTGGACTAAACTCATTTTAATCTAATTTTGTCTACTTATCAATTATTGGTTGTTTCTAATAACACATTTTAATTACTGGTATTTGTGTATAACATTTCTATTAGACTTAAAGATACTTAGGTCTCTTGCAAATTAAACTAACAGTCCATATGCATGAAAGGCAGGATTCACTACCCAAATAGTACTGGGGCATATCCCCGTGCTTCCTAGATCACTCAAAAACATAGAGAACTGGCCTGTTTCCTCCTCAGCCAATATACAAAGTATCCACTAACTTTTCACCGCCGCTTTCACACCTTGTGGCTGAAAATCCTATTAAACCTCTACGCATTCTATTGTTCGCACGAGAGTATCACCGCTTAAATGGCCTGAATCCCCTGTTTTCAAAGCTATGATCCCCATCGCGTTTTGCATTGTGAAATTACGAAGGGTTTAAGTATCAACAATTAAAGCGCTGCTCTGCGATATTATCATTTCTATAACGCTATATCAGATCCTCGGCCCTGCATCGCGGCGCGCCATTGTGAAATTGACAGCTTGCGGTGACATCAAAGGGAGTTAATTACAGGTGAATGAAATTGACACCGGGACAGCACAGGTAGGTCGTTGGGGGAGCTAACGGAGCTTTTCATAGCACAGGTGTGCTCAATAACACCTCCTAAATTAAATTCAGATTTAAGTGTATTCAGAGGGAGTTGTGAATAACGTGAGAGGATTTATCTAAATCGATTAAGTGACTTTCCCTCCACGTGGTGGACAGTGAGTTATTTATAAGGAAGCGATATTTCCGTCCTGCAATAAAAACAATGCTTAACATATTTGCTTCAAGCACTTGTTGTTCTATCTGACAAACCAAGCATGAAAAGAGTTGTACGGGTAATGTTGAATGTTACCATCTCCTCTTCCACTTGACCGGTGACGTAACACACAAGAGGTTATGCTAGTGAAATGATGAGGTGATCTATCCTTATAATACGGTGATAGAAAGATAATGACTGTCAGTGCATTAAACACCTGGCAGTTAGTAGAGAGTGAATGAAATTAATACGTGCACAACAAACCACGTTTTATTCTAGTTTCTCATTTTCTAATCAATCGCCACGTTTTTCCTACTGAGTGATCAACAGTTATAAATCTCCATTACAATCTGAAAATGTGACAGAAAAATAAATCGTTCGTAGAGACCAAAAGTGTTTTGTACTTATGTGGAATGACAAGTCAGCCACGTGGTAGAGACAATTTGTGGGAGGGTAGAAATGGTGTCTAAATTGTACAAAAAACTTTTTGCCACTTTTTACCACTTTTGCTACTTTTTGCCACTTTTTACCACGATTTACCTTTTTATCGTCTTTCCACAAGATAAAAAATATTTAACAGTATTTGAAAAAAGTTTATCATTTTGTTTTTATCATCATTCTTGGGAATCAAAATTGGATTTCACATACTAAAGATACGTTCATGGAAGTTTGTTAAAGATATGACACGACTTTTAATAATGAAAAGGTAGCTACATGTATGTTAAGATGACTGAGAAAATAACAGATAACATTTTTAAAAACATCAGTTTCTTGTTTTTGAGAAATCATTTTTTTCTTTTGTGATTATTTTCTCTCGATCGCTCATTTTTTTTTTTTTTTTTGTATATTAGAGTCTGCAGCGTAAGTCACTGTTTGTAACCCCACCGCTAATAAAGTTTTGTTTGTACCAGTAAATTATTCAGAATGTGTAAATTTAGTGGTCCGACATGGCCATTAGGCTTTTTCTATAACTTTTCAAAAGAGCTTTCGGTTTGATTTATCTTGTTTTTTGAAATATCACTGTTACACGATGATTCTAAAATAAACATTTGACAAAATGAATTTCTTGTTATTATATCTATACTAATGCAATGTCCAGTCTTACTGAAATTTTTATTCGGACCAGTGAATCCTGATACGGACTAGACGTTTTAAGGAAAGTAGCGGTCCGAATGGCCAGTAAGTCGAAAAGTTTATGGCACAGTCTGATGCACACTTTAAAAGATGAAAAACATGGTGATATACAAAGTAACGGTGTTGCAGGATGATTTAGACCATATTTAAAAACAGAGCAATAGCTCTAGGTTTGGATCAGTGATTTACATTTGCATGGACCTTGACAAAATAAGAATTGTGACAGAGCCATCATGTTATCATGTTTTGTTTTTCAGCTGTAACACCGAGATGACAATTGTATTACTTCCTTCCCTTTATTCACCACTAATGTTTTCGTAAATGATAGAGGTAATTTCAATTTTTGTAGCTGTTGTCATGTTTAAGCATAGTGATGGTGGTAGGTCATGCCACATTTAGCACATTCAGTGGTATTTGTCTTTTTATTTTAATACTATGTTTCGTATTGCTTAAAAGGTGATTTCTCGAAGTATCTCAATTCTTTTTCTCTGTAAATTTGGTTGAAATAGTTAAATCAAAAAGCATTACGCCAAAAAAAAAAAAAAAAAAAAAAAAAAAAAAAAAAAATGCAATGTCAGACCAGTCTTTAGATCGGTACTGTACATCTGTATAAAGGCGTGATAAGCCAAACAGTATGATGAACAAGGTTAAACTGTCCAAAGCTTTATTAATAAATCTACCTGGAAAATTGTACAATTTTACATTTAGTGAAGTAAAAAATATAGATTGTGAAGGACTACCTGCATGTACTCGCGGAGACCTAAGTTTCACATACTGAGGTTATCCAAGGGTTATTATTTATAAACAAATTTATAAACTCTATCCAACCTGTATCATCAACATGGCTTATCAGTATTTAAATTTCTGATATATGTTTTGTACATATATATATAAGTTGGATTATTATTATTATTATTATTATTATTATTATTATTATTATTATTATTATTATTATTATTATTACCAGTAGAGGTGAGTAATCTCTGAAATACAGGGTGACTCTCATAGAGCTCATTCCCATTGGAAATAGCGGTCTATGTAGATCGATCCAAAAGATCAGATTAACACGCTTCCTCCTCGCGTTGAGTAGGATACAGAAACGCTGGTGATTGTACGATAACTTTGGAAAAAAAAGGAGGCATGTTATTCTGTTTTAACTGCATTTAGCGAGAGTCGCGAAGAAGTTGGATCGATATATGTAAACCAATAGTTTCAATGGGAATGGGACCTTAAGTATATAACACAAAGTCCTGTTTCAACGTATTGTTCAAACAAACTACATGTAGACTAACAGTATATTAGAATGCGTGCGTTGAAAATACACTTATATGTAGGCGTGAGGTACTCTATAGAGGAGAGCTCTAAGGGTGATTCCCATTCCCATAGATCAAAAGCTTTCATACCTATGATATTATATAATGGTAAAATATGACTCAAGTTAATTTTCTGTTCATAAACAGTACTGTTTCTGTTAACTGTACCCTGGATGGTTAGAAGCAGTATATTTCTGTGAAAATATAGCTTGGTACATAGTTATTATGCGCTGTTAGTGTTGTAGAATCATTTTCGTTCGAAATTTACAGCTATTTTATCCATTGATACAGCTAGAAAATAAATATCAATCTAGAGAAAGCTCAACACTCGTTTAACTTTGATTGTGTTGGGTGTGACAGCTAACGCATTCTGTCACATATGGCTAAACAGGAGTTCATTCCTATTAGCAGACAAGAGTTCTCGTTATACCCCCTTTACACTGGACGGCGTCCTTTCTGCGTCCTCTCTGCGACCATGAAATTTGGCATCGCTGTGGTCTTAATAAGGAGGCACGAGCATTAATTTTGTATCAGAATGAATGCTCAATGATCGGCCAGTTGTCGGCACGTAAAATATTATAATTTTTAAACTCTCAAATGGGGCCGTACTGCTGGACGCAGAAAGGACGCCGTCCAGTGTAAAGGGGGCTTTAGTGACACGAGTGTCACTAACGGTAAAAATGAGGTCATATATATGATCGACTTCAGTGTGCTTTTCTTTTTAGATGGACAGCTACATAAGCTTATCCGTTTTATACGAGTCCATGAAATAAGAATGAAGAAAAAGTAACCCTGGCATAGCACGAGAGCGCGCGATAAATTGTCATCTGAATAGTATATAAATAATGTGCTTCATTTGCTGGCTTTACAAGTCTGACAATCCAGTGGCAGCGCTGACCCTTTAGATGTCACAGTCACAGTTGACACAGTCACACTCGGGGAAGCGTGGATCCCCGGTACACCTGAAGGTCTGTGGGTTGCATCCTTGACACGTACATGTCCAACCATTGACTCCTGAGGAAAATAAATGGAAGACAATATCTTTAAATAAAGTGACACCTAAAACCAACTGAGATCCGTGGCACATCTCCATCATCTGACCTTTCAAAATTTACATTTTTAAGGAAATGTCCAGTTTCGCCGAACGATATAAGACAAGCATTTCGACTAATATGATACAAAAAGATAATATACACGACAAAAAGTATATGTGGTAAACCGGTAGGTATTTATCGAGGATGTCAGGTTATAAACGCAACTTTTACGTTTATCTTTTAATGGAAACATGACTAAAATCTGACTTACTATTTTGGCAGAATTGCCCAGTGAAATTTTGTGGACAAACACAAGAAAAGGTTTCGCCTTGTCCATCTACACAGATGCCTCCATTTTCGCAGGGCATTAGGGCGCACATGTCCTCATCCGGGTATTCAGTGGAAAAGGAAGTGGTGTTTGGCGCTGATGTTGTAGTGATGACTTCTGTTGTGTTTGGTGTGAGGGGAGTTGTTCTCACTGTGAAGCTTGTTAGCCAGGGAGAGGTTGTGTGTTTTGAAGAAGGGGTCTCGTACGGAGTGGGATCCGTCGTGTCTTGCGGTCCGTCTGATGCGTTTGCAGGAAACGTCGAGGGAGGAGAAGTTTCTGGGCCTGGTGGGGGATTTGTTCCGTCTGGTGGGATGTTGGTAATTCTTGTGGGTTCTATTGTGACAGTTGGGGTCGATGTTATTGAAGGGGTTGACTGCGTGGAAGTATCTGTCATTGTCGATGTTGTGGGGTTTGTTGCTGATTGTGTAGATTCGGTCATAATTGTGGGTTCTATTGTAACAGTTGGGGTTGATGTTATCCTAGGGGTTGAATGCGTGGAAGAATCTGTCATAGACGACGTGGAACTTATTGTTGCTGATGGTGTTTCAGCCATACTTGTAATTTCTGTTGCCCAGGAAGAAGGCGATATTATTGAATAGGTCGACTGGATAGAAGAATCTGTCATAGTCGATGTGGAACTTGTTATTGCTGGCTTGGATTCAGTCATAGTAGGGGGTTGGGTTGTTACAGTTGGGGTGGATGTTATTGTAGGGGTTGACTGAGTGGAAGAATCTACCATAGTTGATGGGGAACTCGTTGTTGGTAGTGTTGAAGGTTCTGTTTTGGAAGATGGGCGCGGGGTTGTTGGTCTCATAGGAGTTGTAGGTTCTTCTGTCGGTGGGGTAGGCGTAGTCTTTGGTGGTCCATTACATTTGATTATATTGGATGCGAAACATTTTCTGAAAAATGAAACCGTCCCTTATTATATAATGAAAAAAGTATATCCTGTAAGTTTCATTTACGCAAAATATAGATATAGCATTTAATCCGCAGCTTGACAAAAAAAACTACAAAAATTTAATTTAGCGGCGCTGAAATGTGGGTTACGTTTATAAAATAAATAAGTTCTAAAATAAATTAAAAGATAGTGCTTAAAGAATAGTCGAGCATAATTTTATCTGCATAACTTTATTCTTTAACTTGCTGGTCAAGGATATATTATCGAACTCGCTCAAGCGGTCACGAGACCATGTGGAACAGATTAGTTCGTTCTATCTCAACCAGCTTTCTTAGCCACTGGTCAGCGGGCAACATTAATGAGACGAGTGGGCGTAAAACAGAGGCCCGTCTGACAGGAATGGTAGTCCTAGGAAAGTCCAGGTCCCATATGATTAGTACAGGTCAAGGATAGTCTTCGTAGTATTGGGGTTAGTACATGGGACGGATGCCACCTGTACAAATACTACGGTTCCTGGTGGACTACCGTTCCTGTCACACCGGTATATCAATTAATAGCAAAAAGACATTTCTAAGAGGCCACTCACTTTCCATCGTAATGTTTTCCAGGTATGCTAAACACTTTCCATGTTTTAGAGATACTTGTAAGTGGAACTTTAACCGTAAGGTCCCCGTCAATGCTCTCGGGTAACCCCGCATGTCCTTCCACTTTG